CAACAATTTTTGGAAAAAGATTGTTAAAGCTGTTCTTTACGTTTGGCGAAACCAACGTGTTGGATTATCATGATTGGACTTAGATGATTCCATCTGAGTAGATGTTCAAATGCACAAGCCTCCCGGTCATGGCTTTGAGCCTAGTTAGAGCCTTCTAACACAAGCAGGCAGCAATGCTACGAGTCGAAAATAACATTAGAAAAACGACATCCCAACTTTCTGGAGGCAGCAATACGTTAAAAGGAATTACTGAAGTGAATTCGGTAAGTTCATCTACCCTTCAAACAAATTATCATAACCAGAAATGGTAGAGAGAAAAGGGTACATGGCTTATGTTTCAATTGTGTTGAATCGTATATGGTTCAGCATGAATGTAAAACGCTCTTTTGGTTAGAATTGGCTGACCAAAAACTGAAACACTGCTTGAGGACAAACTCTTGTTTTAGAAAGTATTCTTATGGACGTAGGATTCCTAATAAAAGTAGTTTTATTTATTTCTAAAAGTAGGAATCTTAATATTTGTATTATTATTGGAAGGGAACTGGTTCATTTTTCCACATTGTAAATTTTTTTTGTTCACATTGTTATCCTGTCTACTTTTTTTCACATTAATATCTAAATTTTGTAGGGTTGAATTGGTTATTGAACTATCTATTTTTCTTATATTGAAGTTTGTTCATGGAAATAAGTTTGTCTCGTCGGTTATTGACGAGTAACTCATTTTTAATTTAGACTAATAGCTACGACCGGTGAAGATACAATTGTTGGCCAACGTTTCTTTGTGAGAGAAGAAAGTGGGCAGGACTTTTTTTCCGAACATGGTTAGGGATATTTATAGTTATTTTAATTGGAATAAGTATAGAGTAATTATATCTACTCATATGTCTAGATACTAAATAGATATGGTTTTCATATCTCGTTTAGAAAGTACTTACAAAGGTCATCAAGGGTGATGTTAGGGTGATAAAATTACATTCGTCTTTTATACGCTCCACGAGAAGTTTTTAGTTTTACGGAATGATATTTATTATAATAAATATGAGAACCGCATAGGAAAATTTTATTTTAAAAAGTATAGTTTTAAATACAAAATCTAGTTCACAATTTTATTTTAAAAATGAAATTTCAATGTAAAAAAAAGACATAGTAAAATATATTTAGGTTGAAAAAGACATTTTCAAATTAAGAATATCTATATAGTTTCGTTCCTCTTGCTTCCCCAAATTACGTTTTGAAAATTTGAGTAAAACAAGGGGAAGTTAAGGATTCTCAACTCTATTTACTTTCCTCCACTTTTCTTCGTTTTTCCTTCTCCTAGTCCAATTTAAACACAATTTTAATCGTACACTTCATTTAAATGTTGTAATCTTTTGTTAAAAAAACTTTTTTGAACAGATTTTGTTAAATGGTCCCATGGGGTAATCAAAGGTTAATATCAAGGTTTCAGTCTCCCTTTAAAAACCTGGACCACGTATTACAACAAGTCGTTCCAAAAATCTGAGTTCCTATTCACCTATTCATAACAAATAGGTTCAAGTAGATTTTCATGCTTTATGATCGGTTGATGATGGATTACCTCCTTGATTGTCCAGAACTTAAAGAAAAGATAAAACTATCTTGCTTCAGCTTTTTTAGTAATTTATCAGTGTTAAATTGTAGATATTTTGTTTATATGACGAGTTTTTTCACTGATTGACAAACTTCTTAAGTAGAAATGTCGTTTCGTTTTCTGTAGACGACTGCGAAATTGAATATTTACGTTACAGGTTTCATCGGATTGTGTTATGTGCAGGTAAAAAAGATGGTGCTGTACGCTGTTAGTTCTGCCGTGAAAGAGGTCCAAAGCTTGATGCCTAATCAGGAGTAACATATAATTTGCACTTTTCAAGGATGTTCTCTGTTGACAACAAATTTGGTTCCATTGCTTCGTTGTATATATCTGATTGGTTGTTCAAAAACGGATTTGATTCGTTTAAGGTTGAAGATTGTTAAGTGCTCTCAGAAGAAATGTGCAAGAGCATATAGGGAGATGGGGAGGTTTCCATTAAGATGAGGAGAATTAATTTATCTGATAGATTACTTTGACGTAGATCTCTCCGCCTTTATGAAGTTAGCCCAGCTACCACTTATGGTTATTATTAATATTTTGTTAGGTGGGGAGGTTTCCATTAAGATGAGGAGAATTAATTAACTTTGTATGTATTTGTTGATCCTCCCAATTAATTAGGGTAGGCGGACATCACTCCTCCATTTAATTTTATGAGGAAGAAAAATCACGCACTCAGTTAATTTTTTTAAAAAAAGGTTAGGGACTTCAAACATTTTTAATCTTTATTAAGTAGAAATATTAAAAATAAAATTGATAACTAATCATGAATTTTAAGAAACGGTACCATTTGCATGGAGATACATTTGTGTAGGAGATTAAAGTTTTTTTTTCTTACATTAATTAATTAATTAATGGTGTGGTTGTGGCATATAGCTTGAACATTTCCATTTGTAAAAGGAGTATGTGGGAAGTCAGACCAACACAACAAGATCTATTAAGATTTTATCATGTCTTATATGTCGACCTTTAATGGCAGATTCACAACTTTTATGAGGATATAAATTAAAATTATTTTTGTAATAATATTTATCTTAAAATTTTATTTATATTTATTCATTCAAAAATTATATTGTTAATATATATATATATATATATTCACTCTTAAAAATATTTTTGAATTTAAAATCATCAACCTTGTAATAGAAGATAAAGCTTATATATATATTATATTCTTAATAAATAAAAATTAAATAAGTAATGATAGATTTGGGGAAATATTGGCAACTCAGAGAAACTTAGGGTGCGATTGGTTCACGGAATGTAAGATTATCAGTGGGAATAAAAGATTACCAGGGAATAGGATTACTGGGAATGTTGTATTTTGTGTTTGGTTGGTTTAGCAGGAATGTAAGATTATCGTGTTTGGTTAAAGGAATAAAAGATTATTAGAATGTATATTTGACCAAATTATCCTTATTATATATTTGTATAATATTACAAATTGTAAAATATTTATATATTTTCTTTAAAAAAAATTAAATTTATAATATTTATATAATTTTTTTTACAAAATTAAAAATATAAAAAATGTTTAATGAAATGGTAAATTTTATTTTAACCCCTGAACTTCATATAAAATTTGAATTATAGACTTTTTTTGTAAATCTAAAATAATTTAATGATAAATTTGTAATTTAACATTCGTAGAATTTTTATTATTCAACGACAGAAGAATGATATTTTTGAAAAAAAATAAAAATTTAAGGGCATTTTAATCCAAAACACCGGTAATGTTACAATACCTAAGGGAAGGAAGGTGATGACATTCCCGGTAACATACCCTAAAAAATCTACTATTAATAATAAAACATTATCGGGAATGAGATTCCCGACAAACCAAACATGAGAATATGAGATTCTTATCCCATGGGAATCCCACAATCCTTAAACCAAACACCACCTTAAAGTTTTTATTTTTATTATTTTTATATAAAAAAGAAATGAATAATGACGTATATTAGTATCTTAAGGACGCTAACTAAAGAACCGACTTCTTAATTAATTTTGCTTTGCAAAATTCAAGACAAAAGAGTCTATTACTCCATTTTATTTGTTCGAACATCTTAAATATTAAAAAATACAAATATTCATTATTAAATTATTTTTAAACAAATATTATTTTATACTCATTTAAAATTAATAATGATATAAAAAGACTTTATAGTACAGTTGAGGTCCGAAGTTGATGACATGAACCTACCTGCATCCCTTTCCAACGCATGTGCTGCAAATTGCAGTGGCCCCAGAAAATGACAGAATGAGGTGACGAAAAGGATAAAGTATATGATTGTTAAATTTACAAACAAAAAAATTATAACTAAATATTTAATATATATATATATATATATGTATATATTTGAATAATATATTTTTATTAAAATAAACATTTAAAATATTATTATTATTGTCTAAATAATTAAAATTATTTTATAAAAATAAATATTTAAAATATATAATATTTTATTAATAATCAACTGATTTAGTAGGATTAGATATTATATCTCTTAAGTAGAGTTAAAGATTTAAATTCGGACGTTTGCAAATAAAACAAACAAAATTAAGAGAATCACCTTTATATTAAATCTTTATAATATCATAATTGAATTAATCGATTATTATAATAGATATCAATAGTTATACAAAATATATATATATATATATCATTTTTAAATTTATATCGCATACCAATTTTCAAAAAATTATATAAAAATATTAAAAATATCTAGATAAAAAAAAGTGATTGGAATTTTATATTGTTTAGGCATTATATTTTCATGTATTTAAATATAATTTTTAATATATATTTATTGATTGATTAAACATAAAATTAACATACACGTAGTTATCATCGTTTAATTCATGTTTATGTTTATACAATTGTATGTTGAAACATACACTTATGTATACATTTTTTAAACAAAAATCATATATATATATTCCCATTTTGGCTTTTTTTTTCTTCTTTCATTTTAATTTGACATATGCTTATAATGTCGTCACATAAATGAAAGCTATGTTTTACAAGATACTTCTTCAGAAATATTTTTTTACATAATACGTCTTTATCCTATTTAATATAAAAGTATTAATTTAAAAAATAACATAGAATAGATATTATTTTTAGTATTGAATTTTATTTTTGATGATATTTAGGTAAAATGCCAAAAACATTACATCAATTAATGGAACAACAAGATCTTTAATTCGGATTAATAATTCAGTTCATAGCGTCAGACAGAGACACCCTTAGCACCGGTTCAAAATTGGAAACCATCACAAGGGTAAAAACGACCTTTGAGTTTCTTCTAGTGATGGTTGCTTGTAAGTATTGTTGGTTCCATATAGTATTTAAATCCTTTCTGCAGGCTCCAAACTCGATTCTCTCTCTCACAGTCTCACTCTGATCAATGGCAGAAAAATGGGAAAACACTCTACTCTTCTCCTCTTCCATTTTTCTCCTCCTCCTTTTTCTTTCCTCAGCCGTTTCTGACCCTTTACAGCTGCAAACCCTACTGCCCCGCCCTCTTCCTCATCCGCCCACTTTATCATGGACAGACTCCGAACCCGATTCACTCGCGGAAATCGCCGAACTCAGCACTGTTAATTCCAACACCACACTGGAAATGCACTTAGAATTGCACCACTTAGATGCTTTTTCTTCCGAAGAGATACCGGAGCGACTTTTCGACTTCCGACTGCAGCGCGATGCGCTCCGTGCGGATACGATCTACTCCCAAGTTTCGAATGCGGTTGCGCGTAAGCCTCCACGCGCGGGAAGCCGTTCTGGATTCAGTAGCTCCATTATTTCCGGACTTGCTCATGGTAGTGGAGAGTACTTCACGCGCCTAGGCGTCGGTACTCCGCCGAGGTATCTTTATATGGTGCTCGACACTGGAAGCGACGTCGTTTGGGTGCAGTGTTCGCCTTGCAAGAATTGCTACTCTCAGACTGACCCGATTTTTGACCCTACTAAATCACGCTCTTTCTCTGGCATTCCCTGTGGATCACCGCTTTGCCGTAGCTTAGATTCATCTGGATGTAACCTGCGCCGGATGTGTCTTTACCAAGTATCTTACGGCGACGGTTCGGTTACTTTCGGCGATTTTTCCACCGAAACGCTGTCGTTTAGAGGAAACAGAGTGGGACGCGTGGCGCTCGGTTGTGGTCACGACAATGAGGGCTTGTTTGTCGGCGCAGCAGGTTTGGTAGGCCTTGGTCGTGGGAGATTATCATTTCCTACCCAAGCCGGACGCAGGTTCAACCGGAAGTTCTCTTACTGTTTGGTCGACCGTTCCACTTCTTCTAGACCCTCCTCCATGATTTTCGGTGACGCCGCTATTCCCCGAACCGCCGTGTTTACGCCTCTTCTAACAAACCCAAAGCTCGACACGTTCTACTACGTGGAACTGCTCTGGATCAGTGTCGGCGGGACACGTGTCCGCGGCATCACGCCTTCTCTGTTCAAAATGGATCAAGATGGAAACGGAGGAGTCATTATCGACTCCGGCACGTCTGTCACCCGCTTGACCCGACCCGCTTACATAGCACTGAGGGATGCATTCCGTATTGGGGCTTCGAACTTGAAGCGGGCACCGGATTTCTCATTGTTCGATACATGCTTCGACTTGTCGGGGAAGACTACCGTTAAGGTACCAACGGTAGTGCTGCATTTTAGAGGAGCTGACGTGTCATTACCGGCGACGAATTATATGATTCCGGTGGATAGAAGCGGAACCTTTTGCTTTGCGTTTGCCGGTACCATGAGCGGTTTATCCATAATTGGAAACATACAGCAGCAGAGTTTCCGGGTGGCATTTGATTTAGGAGGTTCTCGGATCGGGTTTGCCCCCCGTGGATGCGCTTAAACACGGGTATGAATCGTTTATGGTAAGGGATAAATATGTTTCCCTGCCTTTATTGTAATGTAAGAAGGGAAGAAAAAACAAAATGTTCGATGGATTTGCATGTAAGAGATTGTTAGATGAATCAATCAAGTAAAGTACAAATGTAAATTGAGGTCATCTAGTAAAGTTTGAACGCCCATTCGGTACTCAACTATTTGGCAATGTTAGAGAAGGCGGCAGTGTTTTGAAAATCGAATCGGTCGGTTCAATCGGTTCAATTAAAAATTATTGTCTAGTTCGGTTCAATTAAAAATTATTGTCTAGTTCGGTTCAATCTACACCGGTTGAATTGGTATTAGTGAACCGATTAGAATCGTTGAACCGTTCGAACCGGATCAACTAAAAATCAGAAATTTTGTTTTTTTTAAAAAAAAAATTAAACCAAATGACGTCGTTTGTTAAACGAGTTAAGTCGAACTCGAGTATTGCTGAATTCGACTCGAACTTGAAAACTTTAAAAATAAACTCAACTTTACTTAAACTCGCAAGCTAAAAATTATCAAGTTCAACTCAAGCTCAAAATATAATATTGAAGCTTGAACTAAAAAAGTTTGAATTCAAAAAAAAAATTAGAAGCTCGATTGAAGCCTAAAATTCGAGCTTGATTGAAGTGAAAGAATAGTTTACTCAATGTTCACCAAAAGGTTCAATGATTTGAATGTCAAATTACCTTTATTATTTATAGAAATTAGTTGTGATGCTCTTCTATGTTTCTTAGTCATATGTGATTATTTTGTTATCATATTTTTACTCTTTAGATTTTTGGGATGTTCTTCTATGTTTATTAGTCATGTGAGATTGTTTTAAAAAAAATTAAACCAAACAAATATCATTTTGTTACGATTTTTTTAACCCCAAATTTATTTTTTAATTATAGTTATATAATTATATTTTATTATTTAATATGTTTTACCTTAAATATTATGTTGTAGTTAATTTAAATAATTTTGTTTCACTTAATTTTATGTTTTTTAACTTATATATGTTAAGATTTGCTTTAAATATGACTTGTGATATAAAAAATTATTTTTTATTAAATATTTTTAGTATTTTTATTTAATTTTTTAAATAATTATGATGTCGTCCGGTTCTTCCGACCGATCTAATCGATTCGACCGATTGAACCAATAAATCGATAGTATGATCGGTTCACTAACCGAACTGATTTTGAAAACCATGGAAGGCGGCATCCTAAAGTATCTGTTTCCTTATGATTTTGGCATTCTTGGTGCCCACTTCCACTCATCATATATTGTTCTACTTCTTCCAAAGGCTGATTTCTGCATCTCAAGACCTCCGAAAAAGCCTCCCTGCAAGAACATCCATGGATTAGGAACCTCAAACGCCTAGTACCCCTCGAAAAATCACAACCCGTTGGTCTGATATTTGACAAACAAACGTGATTTATTGTGTTGATCATATCCACTTAGTCTATTAGTCAATATATCCACTTAGTCTATTAGTCAACGTATAATTATAATAATTTTTATTTACGAATACCTATAATAATTTAACGTTTATTAGTTTTCCTATGTTTTTGTCATATTTTTTTTTGTCTTTATATCATTTTTTTTTTGCCTTTTGACATTTTTTTTTTCGTTATTTTCATTTATTATTTTCTAATGATTAATTAGACATCATCACGACTAATTAATATAGCTTTTATCTGTTATATTGTTGATCTTCCATGCTTAAGACCTTCAGATTGAATTTGGATACCCGTTATGCGTTTGTGGATAACTTTTCACTTTGTTCGAATCTAATTTATGTTTTGTTGGTGGACTTTCAGTAGCTTGATCCCTTTTGTGACTCATTTTCCGATGCGACCAAATCTGTTTTTATCTATCTTGGTTCGAGATTTTTTGTTGTTAGATTTTAATATTTTCTTGTATGATTCTTATATGTGATCCTAAGTTGTTAGTTTTGTTTAAATGATTATAGGAAATTGTTCTAATTTTGTGTTTAATTAAAAATTATTTATAATTTAAGATATTTCATATTTTGAATAAAATTAATGAATTCTTAAAAAATATATAAATACTAAAAGTCATTTTAGAAGTTTTAATCAAGAGTGAAAGCAATATTTGGATTTTTCTTTACTCGTCTCTTTTTAGTTTCTCACGAAGATAAAAGACTTGGACATCAATAAACGATTAATTCATTTATTAGTTGTTACTTTTCGTTTATCTGTTATTCTTCATCTAAATTAAAAATAAAGACCATTTATAATTATCTTGACTTGTATATTTAATTGTCTTTGGTTCGCAAGCATGGTGGAGTGGGACATCTAGAAATCATGTACCAAAAGAGTGGTGCTTTGATGTGGAAATGCAATTATCTCCTTTTCAGGGTAAAAGAACAAAAGTACCCACTGAGGTGTATATATTGTTTTTGTTTTTATCGATCGAACAAAAACAAAAATGATATACACGAGTGTAGATAATTATAATTTAATATCACTTTATCAATCGAACACGTCTAAAGAATTAAAATTCCTTATAATTATTCATGAATATAATTACTAATATATTCAAGTCTGTATTTACGCTACACTAGTTAAGAAGAAGAAATAGAGTTTGTTGTCTTGTTCTCCTCGGTGGCAGTATCAATTTTGATATTGATTGTCGATCGTCGGTATTTATTATTATTTTTTCTTTATTATAACCTATTTTTTTATTCTTAATAGTTCTACCCTTTTGACACGTATTCTTCTATTCTTAGACACGTTTTTCTCCGCCTCTATAACACGTTTTCGGTTATTTAGCTGTTATTTTCCTTTAATTTTTTCAGGATTGGATTTGACATTGCCACGACTGATCAAGATGACAAGCATTTGTTATCGTGACGATCTTCCCTGCTTTTGATCATCGAATTGAATTTGGATACGTGATTTGTGTTAATGGATAATGTTTTCACACCGCTCGATTTTGATTTGCAATATGTCGTTGATTTTTCAATAGTTTTATTCCCTTTTGTGGTTCGTTGTTGATGCAGTCAGATCTATTTGTATTTATCTATTGTTCAAGTTTATTTGGTTAGGTTTTTTTAACCTTTTTCTTGTATGATCCTTGTGTGACCTTAAAGACTAGTTTTTTTGTATTTAGAAAAATATTCTTATTATACATATAGTTTACAGTTGTGGTTGTAAACCTTCATTGTAATTTGAATATTTTATATTTTTTATAAAATTAATGATTTTTATAAAAAAATATTATTAATTTACGCTCTTTAACTTTATAATTAATATCATTTCAACAATAAAAATTGACTAAATTAATAAATTCCTTATAATTATAATGTAAAGTGGTTGATTCTAAAACCCAGCCCATATATATAGTGGTTCCATAGTTGTAGTTAGGCTCAAAATGAGTTACGGGCTGACCTCTGACTGCCCAATCCTTAAAATAAATTATACTCCAATATATGTTACTCCCATATTCCAATTATTACATATGAGACGACGACGTACGGTACCAGAAGCATCTTGCTTCCAAGTTCTACTTCCCAATCAAAGAAAAATATGTAGGATTCGACAATAGAATGGAACCAACGTTTTCTCATACTAAACAAACAATTCAGGATGATGGTTTTATGACACTTTTGTTAATACGAGTCACTCGATTATTAATTTTATTATAAGCAAGTTTATATATATATATATATATATAATTTATAATTTAATTAAAATATCATTATAAATAAATAATTGAATTAATAAAAATAAAATAAAAGATTAATGTAACTTGATATAATAATAATTTAATATTAAAATGTATGCATTCTATAAATTTGGTCTTAATTCAAATTATTTTAATAAATTTAACCATTTTTATTAAATTTTTTTTATCAATTTAGTCATTTTTTTGGTGGAACTATCAAGAGAATCTATGGATCAAAATAATAATTATTGGTGGAACTATTAAAAGAATCTATCGGATCAAAACAACAATTAGATAATTGCATTTTACCATAAAACAAGTTATTGATAAAGTTTTTCGTCATAAAACAACAACTTATAAATTACAAGTAACGAAATTTATGATCTGGAAGTAAGATAAATCGAAAATCGGTACTACACGCACTCGGTGCTTGAAAAAATAGTAGCAAAACATGAAAGAGGGTATCCTCTAAGTATACACGAAAAACGAATTCCATTAAGAATATTATGTCAACTCCCATACTTTGTGTCTCACTCAGAACAATAAATACAATGCCCTCATTGGTAAACCTCAATATCATGTAAAATATATTTTTTTATTGGATAATTTAAATTTTATTACCTAAGATGCAGAGTTCTGCTACATAAAATACCTCATCAGAGGGATAAAAAACAACTACTTACAACAAAGAGGATGGTCAACACCCCAACGATTACAAAGGTAATTATTGATACTATCTAATCTATTTATATTTCTTTCTCTTAATTGAATACATACAATCTCCTGAATAGAAATCAAAATTTCTTTCTCACTTCTTTTGCTTCCTCGGTATAATCTTCTGTTTCTTTCTTCCCATATGGAATAGATTAAAGCGCACCAAGCAAGTTTCAAGATATTTGTAAGGAGAGACTTACCTTTCCAAGAACCACTGGCCCATTGTAACATGCTCAACCATGGTAAAGTAGGATTTTTTAAGTCGGAGAGATTCAGAATAGCCTTCCATAAAGAAACTGCCATTGAGCACTCACTAAACAGGTGGTTCCTAGTCTCCGTAGCTTCATTGCAGATTATACATGAACCGTCGATAACGATTCCCATTCTCTGTAGCCTCTCCCTAGTTGGGAGTCTATCCAGAATTACCATCATGTAAAAGATATTGGGAGAAATTTTAAGCAACAAAAAGGTAATATAACATTTATGGGGAAAAATAAATACTAAATTGATGGTATTTTTAAATATGAATGATTAAATTTATTAAATTATTTTGAATTATGACCAAATTGATAAAATATATAAGTTTTAAAGACTACAATTATTATTATATCATGTCACATCATTATTCCGTCTAATATCTAACAGTTCAATGACATGTTTGTAACAAAATTTTAATAGAATGCTTAAATTATTACTTTCAAGAAATATCACAATCGAAATAATAAATGAGTGACTTAGAGTGTATTTTACCCATTTATTTTCCATTCGCATATTGACAAGGACATACATTAGATTTTATGGTAGAGGATACAACTTAACAACTTATATTAAGAATTTAAGGATTGTGAAATTATAAAATTTTAAGGATATGAAATTAGATTATTAATAAAAAAAATATAAGAAAATACTTAAATTATATACGGTCACACTCAACATCCCTCGATCTAGCCTTGTATATTAGGTATAATATTCAAAATATATGCTAATAGTACAGGGATGCAGTGATTAAGTTCTTTTGTGGAGGTTCAACAAGATTAAGATTCAAATCATGTTGATATATGAGTCATATATATTATATCCCACTGGTTGTCCGAAGTCCGAACAAGGTAGGGTTATTTCCAGCTGAGCCATTTTTTCTTTACATTTTACATTGATATTTAAAATCTCAACAAATATCATTATCAATGGCCGTAGGGCCGACAAGTGGCTCACACAATACAATTATGCGCTCAAGAGCAGAAGGAAGCTCATCTCTTTAGCCTTTGAGACGCTGGCCGGCTGGCCCTACTACTCTAAATTCTCATCCAAGGAACAGGCGGCAAGTGGCAGCAACCAACTTCCTTTTGTTAAAAACTTGAAAAGGGTTCTCCTCTCATTATTCTATCTTTATTTACAATTTTCAATCTTTTTTTTTAACCATGCTTTCTCTTTAACACCAAACCGTTGGATGTTGATCATGTGTCACAGAAACGTTAGACGGTGACACCTCTCTTCTCTCTCTCTCTCTCTCTGGAACCAATGAAGAAAAGCACAAATAAAGAGAGATGGTAGTATAGATTCACTTCATGTTCTTATCTGTACTTCATTCTTTTCTTTTCTTTTTGCATCAAACAAAGTGAACCCTAAGTTTTTATCTTTCCAAAAAGGAATTATTCTCATCGGGAAATAAGGGTCAAATTTGATAAGTTTTTCATCTCCTTTCCCATGGAGTTTGATGGCATTGATTGCATGACATCTTCGGATGTGATTGATGATGATGATGATGATGAGCTTCATCATCGTCATAATCAGTTGGCTTCATTGTTGAAGTCCCATAGCAACAATGGAAGCAGCAACAGTATTGTGCCATCAGCGGCTCAGTCGAGCACCACCAGTGTCCATGAACTTCTTGAATGCCCTGTTTGTACCAATTCTATGTACCCTCCTATCCATCAGGTCAGTCTTTAATTCCAATTTCATGTATGGTTTTTTTTAACCATCTTGAGGTGCTGGAATGGGTTTAAATTTTGTTTCTTTTTCTTGGTTGTAAAGCTTGATTTATTGGCTTGAGTGATTGATCTCCTCTGTCGAATCTGTGCTCTTCTAGTGTTAGAATTTGGACAATTGATTGGAGAATTTTTTGGGGTTGGGGGATGGCATGAATCTAAACACTAAAGTTGTGCCCTTTTTTTGAACCTATTGAGCTGCTTCAGTGATAAAATGGTGTATTATCTTAGAGATTTCAGGTTTAAGTAGCTACATCTATAGAGTATTAGTCATTAGAGGTTAAGAAAATTTTGAATATATACTATCTTGTAATCATCTCAATTATTAATAAAAAAAAAGTTTCATCCTTTGGGAATTTGATTTTTGGAGTGTCTGTAGTTCGGTTTTGGAATTGCAGTACAAGAATCCTTTCCATATAGTGATGAAATTTATAAAAGCATTTCCATGTGTAGGAGAAACAGAGAAAATAGAAGAAGATGCGAGTAATCAAATGTTAGAAATCAACAGTGCATTTGTTTGTTTCCATGACAGTTTTTACTTGAATATATTGGACAATAAAATCATATATAGTTTTTTTTTTTTTAAATTGAAGAATTTCTCAGAAAAAAACATTTGAATATTGGCTTAATCTACAAAAGAAGACATTCTGGATTTTACATTCTTTTATGCTTTGTGAATCTAGCTGCCCCTAATGAATTCTCAACTTATTCCACAGTGCCACAATGGGCATACTCTCTGTTCAACCTGTAAAACAAGGGTACACAACCGGTGCCCCACTTGTAGACAGGAGCTTGGTGATATCAGGTGTCTAGCACTAGAGAAAGTAGCCGAATCACTCGAACTGCCTTGTAAATATACATCACTTGGATGCCCGGAGATCTTTCCTTATTACAGTAAACTCAAACATGAGGCCTTATGTAACTTCAGGCCATACAATTGCCCGTATGCTGGATCGGAATGCGCTGTTGTTGGTGGTATTCCATTCCTTGTTGCTCATCTAAGGGATGACCACAAGGTGGACATGCATTCTGGATGCACATTCAACCATCGTTATGTGAAGTCTAATCCTCGTGAAGTAGAAAACGCGACATGGATGTTAACCGTAAGCGTACTCTTCTTGAGCACCTTCGTCTCGATTATGAACTGAACTATGATGAATGCTGTAATCCATGTTAGGTATTCCACTGTTATGGCCAATACTTCTGCCTCCATTTCGAAGCCTTCCAGCTTGGGATGGCCCCTGTTTATATGGCATTCCTTCGTTTCATGGGTGACGAGGTTGAAGCCCGCAACTACAGTTACAGCCTAGAAGTTGGGGGCAATGGAAGGAAACTCATTTGGGAAGGCACTCCCAGAAGCATAAGAGATAGCCACAGAAAGGTCAGGGATAGCCATGATGGCCTTATTATACAGCGTAACATGGCGCTTTTCTTCTCCGGAGGAGACAGAAAAGAGTTGAAGCTGCGAGTAACTGGACGGATATGGAAAGAACAACAGAACCCTGAAGGCGGTGCCTGCATACCCAACCTTTGCAGTTAAAGACAGAAGCTCTGCTGGATCACTGATGCATACCCCATAATACCATTTATTGCATATTCTTGTAATATTCTTAGCAACCTGCTGTTAGTGTTGAGGATTCTTGAATTTTGTATGAATTTGGAGGCTTAAGTGTTTTCTCAATTGTAAAAATCAAAGTTACCGTGCTGTAAGATATTGAGAAATGCAATCTAAACGAGTTTCTCTATCAACTCCTTCCCTCCATGAGTGATTAAATGGTGACTCGGGCACTCAGATGTAAGAGGCACCACCATTCATGAATAGCGACGTTGTTTTAAGTTCCAAAGGGGGTTTTAGCTTTCACCCAGAGTTTTGCACAAAACCTCTTTCTGTACAAAGCAGAAAGTTTAGAATATTTTGACAACCCAAATGACAGTTTAGAATATTTTGAGAATATTTTTTCTCAAGGTGCGTCAGAATCCGAGTCCTGATTTTCACAACCCAAAAGACAGTTTAGAATATTTTGAGAATTTGAATTCTGGTAGGACCAAACAGAGTGATGTAGATAAGGATGGAGGTGAATTAAAATCAAAGCGTTTAGGTGACTGTTTTGTTGAGTAAATTAGAGAATTTGGTTGACCAGTATAAGAAAGATGCTGAGTTTTGGGGCATTGGGTCGGGTCCTATTTTCACGGTTTTGGAAGATTCGCATGGGAATGTAAAAGGTGTTATAGTCCATGAGGATGAGATTTTGAAAAGACTTGAATTTGAAAACATGAAAGTGAATTCCAAAATTTAATATGCAAATAATTTAGCTAGAGAGATGGAAATGGGTGGAAATGTGATTCCAAGGACTAGTTCTGTAGCCAAGTTTGTTGTTTCAGGTGAGGAGTCCGGTTTAATGAGTGGAATTGGTCGGGTATTCTTCATCCTGGGTTTATCCCAAAACTCTCAAGTATTCGAACTTTGGTGCTCGGTGGTTTGATCGTATTTTGGGGGGCGAAGTTGTTTGTTACTGGGAAAAAGGATGCAGAACACACACAATTGGAGAAAGTAAGGTTTAGGAAGGGGAGAGAGATATTGGAGAAGGGTAGTGTTGAAGTTGTTCAAGCATCCGTAGAGCCGCCGAGTGTGTCGTTTCAAAGACCGCAGCTGGAAAAGCAAGAACTTATGAATAATATACTAAAAGCAAAGGCTTCAATGGAAAAATTGGCATTGACGGATTCTTCTGGCTCTCAGAGTAGCAAATCTGGGGATTTCGAGGGTCAAATCCAGGAAATTAAATTGATGGCCAAGAGAGCCCGGGAGGCTGAGAGTAGACAACAATCTCTACTTGGTAAGGACAAAAAGGAAGTCCAGGCTGCAAACAAGGAATTTTCTGATGAGATGCAACCAACCGAGAGGGTGGAAAAGATGGAGTGAAATCCTTGGTTAACCTTTCTACAAAAGAAGATTCCAAACAAGGCAAAGGTGACTACAAAGCTGTGGAATCAACTTCTTCAAATGAACCAAGTGGCGATGATGTTAAATTTCTCAATGGAGTAGCCTCTTTAGATGGTAGAGTTGGACAAGTCACTGATGCTTCAAGTGTACAGTTACCAGAAAAGCACTAAAGAGGATTTGAAAAATAAAGGACAGTACTTTACCCTTATTAGTCAATGGAGAATGTAACCAATCCCCTGTTCTTCCTGGTAACGAATCATATACTGCAAAGTACAGGTCTTCTGGAAAGAAACCAAGGGTCATACTGTCGTTGAAGGAAGCTAGGGAGCTCCTTTCCTCAAAATCCGACAAAGAAAAGCTTAACCAAGAACCTGTAATGGAAGCTGTTCAAGAAAGTGATCCTGATTTAATCTTACCAAATGATAAAAAATCAGGTAGAAGTACCGAGCAGATAATAGATGAGAACAACAAAATGTTCCCACGTGGCATTTCCAGCCGAGATTCGGAGTCTACAGCTTCTGTAAATGCTTGTCAAAGTGATGAAGAAAATATTGATGACGATGCCTAATTGACTATGGAACAGGTCATTGAACACACTCTAATCTTATGTTTATTTCTCAGCGTATAGAATTATACACATTTGAAAACGAGGATCAGAGAATAGGATTTATGCACTGGAGAGGCAACAGATCTTGAACTGGAATCAAAACCACAACATGAGATTGCTTTTGAAGATGTGGTGATTGCAAAAGCTTTTGTTACATCATGCAGGCTCACTTGGATATGCTAGGAAATGGCAGAGCCTTTATTGTTCTACAGCCACCTAGGGTAAAATTTGATCGTTTTTACAATGAAATATGGTCAAACATATTCAGTTTTCATATAAAAAGGGGACTTCAAATGTTAAAAGATTGCCTGAGAAAACCAATATTCCATTCTATCTCCTGATCTGATCAACTGAAATTTGACCTAAAATGCATTCAGAGGTGATGGCAACCATTATGAAGGGTTGATGGATAAGTGATGGGAGTTGATGGTTCATTTTGGAGGTGTCGGGTTGCAGAAGCCAATCATAACCACAGAACATCAACATCATCAACTCTCAGCAGTGGATTCGGGCACGGACGAGAGTTGGAGATGTTTTGTTTGTAACCGTTGCTTGAGGGTTGAGGCAGTGAAGGTTGAAGGAGATGGAGGCAGTGAAGGTTGAAGGTGATGGAGGCAGTGGAGTGATGATTGGCTTTTATTTGTACAAGATGGGTGATTGGCAGTGATGATGTTGATGTTCTGAGGTGAATGTAAGGTTTGCTGGTGGTTCCTGAAGATGATTGATGTTTTTTTCCCTTTAATTTTCTATAATTTTTATATAAAATCAATTAAACTCTTTTAAAAAAATTGAAAAATCCATCACTGTGATGCATCTGACTGAGAAGTATATTATTTGTTTGATCCATGAGTGTGATGAACTAGAATTTCCTTGCCAATGTAAAGCTCCCAACTGCCGAAATATATGAATTAAGGTTTGTCCAAATATACTCCAATTTATCTATTGGAAGAAGCATTAAAACGGTACTGACTGAAACAAATGAGAAATCCCAGTTTTGTGGACATCCGCCATTGTAATATGTAAATCAAAGATATAATACTATACCTCTTACAATCTGAGGCATTTAGTATAACCGTGTTTATTATTGCTAGATAAGATGACAGTTTACAGAAATGATCTCATCCTTTTACCGGAACAAGTAAATCAAAGATATAATACTACCTCACGGAACTATGTCCCCGGAAACACAATATTACAAACAAATTATCCTCAGATTCTCCAAATAAAATTAAGGGTCTGATATCCATAATCTGAAATTTTACTACTAAGCAGAACTTGGCTACTTTCCTGTTTGTTGACTGCTATTGATTTGATCACAAGCTAAAGTTACACAGCTAAGATGTTCAGATGTTAACAATTCAAATTTCAAAATGCCTACTGAATAGATGTCGAATCTTGTTCTTGTTGCTAACAATTTTAACAAGATAAGGGCTTACAAGACTCACCTTGAGCTAGGATTTTTATCTTCATCTGACGGCAAGCACGGCTGTTCAGGGACAGAATCAACAAAATATTCCTCCACTGAAACAAGTTGAAGCTATCAGTGTATTGTCAAACACATTAATACACCCAGGATCTATGAATGGGAAAATGTCAAAAACCAAAGATTTTCAAAGCTTAAAATAGATGCCACTTGTGGATTTGGCCCCTTTTTACAATAATCCCAATGCCTTGGATTTTAATTGCACATGGACATCAATTCAAGGGATAAACCCCAAAGATAAACAAAATTCAATGCAGTTTGTAATATGATGGGGGAATTTGGATTCGTATAATTTTTAAAAACAAAAAATTTCATTAAGAGCAAGATGAAGCATTATTAAACAAAGATATTGGAAATCATTATTACATAAAATTCAACCTAAAAAGACACCTACATATTAAAAAAAAAACTATTATTTTTATTTTAGATAAATATAATTATTTGTGTAAATATTAATTAAAAGTAAAAGGACACCACATGGATAGTATTGTTAGTGGTACATGAAAATTGAATCAAATCAAAGCTCCATATATATAATTACACCATATAAACCATCCATGTTAGTTATGCATGCATAATTTTGAGATTTAAGGCTAAATCCAATCGTAACTGAGTGCATGAAAGGTCGTGTAAGCTTCTATTCTATGTCAGTCAAAGCATTTCATTTAGTAAACATCAGTATGCAAACTCATTACCTATATTATCTTGCTCTGAAGAATCAAGCAAAATTTCTGAATCAGAATGAAGAAAAGGAGAACCAGGGTAGTTCCCGAGATCACCTAGATCTGTAACAATTCCAACGGCCACACATTGTAAGCACAAGCTCAATAAAGAAAAACACCAAATTGAACAATAAAATGTAACGAATAGTGATAGTTTCCGAGGCCAATAATAAAGCAATGCAGAAATTATAAAGAGCAAAATGTTGAAAAACAAATACAAAACACGAGTCCTCGGATGTGTGTGTGTGTGTGTGTGTGAGAGAGAGAGAGAGAGAGAGAAAGTGGATATATCAGCATGGGCATCATAGCCACAGCCTACCTCCTAAGTTGGACAAGTCTGCAGTGAGATCAGTGAGACTGAAATTCCACTGAATATGATCAAGTGATCTAAAGGAATCTCTAGAATTCCCAGCTCCATTATCATGTCCAAGCTGCAAACCTACTGAACTTGCCACGTCCGCTGTGAAGGCCGAATCAAGTGCTGATGTGTCTGCTCTCATCCCTGACATGTCTGACGCAGTGAAGGGAAAACTCCCACTGGATGCCACTGATATACAGCTCACAGGAATTTCTGACATAGATGACATGGCAGTGGTTGGAGGAATTGCAGGTGTTACATCACTGGCAGTGTTGTCCATCACCATGCTAGAATAAGGAAATCAGTAATCATTAGCAGCGAAACATAATTTTGGTTTATGAAATTACAAAAATCTAAGATAAAGTGATAAGGACTTAATATTTTAACATTATTTAAGAATGTGGTAGTAAAAGTTATGCAGGAGCTAACCTAAAACAGCTTAGGACTAGAGTTTAACAGAACGGAGTTAGTTTATGATACTGTAATATAACCGTAACACAATCATGCATTTGTTGCAAATCTGATCAAGTAGTTCCTGAACATCTCAACCAGAAAAAGACAAAAGAAAGCAGCACATAATAATCAAATCATGAATTTGG